TACATTTGGAATGTGAGATGAGTTTAAATGGTCTTTATGATCTGCAGTTAATAGCTGGGACGTGCTAGGAATATTAGGAACTAGTTTTTGAGGTTATGTTGGCTATGAATTGCTAAATTCAGTTATTGCTTCACTTATTGGATGCCTGAGTGTCACATTGAGTCTTCTTAAGCTAGTATTGATCTATTGACATGAGTGGAAGTCCATCATACTCACATCTGACCCATCAGCTACTCAAAACACATCTCAGCATCACATCAACAATAAAATACATTAAAATTCCACCTGACTAACAACACAGCACCGAAAATTGACCTTCAAAAATATTTTTTTTAATTTTCTTCTTCCACTTCCGACCTCGAAACCCTCAAAGCAAAAAATTCTCAGCCTTTAACCTTCAAAAAAATGTTCTTTAAATTTTAATTGCTTCTGTCTGTAAAACTTACACACAGTTCCAGGTCGGTTCCTTGCCGATAATCAAATTTAATTGTGCCCCAATTTTCAGTTTCTTTTTTCAGTGTTCCTTTATGTCTCGTCCCCGGTAAAGTCCTCGATTGTGAGTCTATCGGAAGCATTCTTGGCACAATTTCGCATCTGTTGCAAAATATATAAAATAAAATAAATGCAAAGTTTATGGATGATTGGCTGCACATATGCGATATATTGTACAAATGTTGCGACTAGACAGTCCAGGCCAAGCCAGTCAACCATTTAGCACTCAATTAAGGAATAGAATCGACCTTTTAACCTCGAAATAAAAACTTCAATTTAACCCTCAACATTGACCTCGAATAGAAAACTCAGCTCAGCTCGAGGAATTGCCAACAATTAGTGTCTATAAAAGATTTCAAGCAAGGCAAAGCTAAAGTCAAAAGAAATAGGAAAGCGAAAATGTCAATCATGTGCATTGGAACATCTTCATGCATCTACGAGTTCCTCACACGAATAGACGAAGAAGAGGAATTAGAGCAGCAAACAAGACGAAGACAATGACAGGAAGATTGGACTTTGATGTGCACATGGAAAAGAAATCATTTTGAGAGTCAATTGAAATTGGAATTGGAATTAAATTGGAAGAAATAAAGCAAAAAGAGACACGCGAGTGAAATTTTCTCTTTTTTATTGCTTTGATGTGATTTTGTTGGATTTATTGCAATTTTGTTGCTGCTCTTCTGGTCACATTTTGAATTAATATGCTGAATAAAACCTGAAAATGACCACAAAACTTAAAAAAAAACTCAAATTTTCTTTTTATCAAATTTTATTTACAGATTTTTACACTTAATTCTTGATCCTTAATGTGTCACCATGTGCTTCTTCAAGTACTCCTTCTGCATGAACTCCTTGCCACAAACTTGACACTTATGCAGCTTCTTTGATCCATGCAAATGTTCATGTCGTCTTAAATTGCTTTGTGTTGAAAAAGATCTTGTGCAGGAACCAAATCCACACTTGTAACCTGTTAGTGATGTGCTGTTGATGTCTTCTTTGATTCTTTGTTGCCTTTTTTGTGTCATTTTTTTAGCTAAGCTTGTCTTTGTTGTTTCTGGAACATTGAGTTTATTGACTGTGAAGTGTGCATCTTCTGTGATGATAATTTGGTACAAAGGCTGTTCATCTTGTGATTCTAAGTCGAGTTGAACGATATCCTCTTGGATGTACTTGGCTAGCTCTGATTCTGTGTTATTTGAAACTAATTCTAGCTCAGGATTGAATGATGCCATCAGGTCTTGTACATCGAAACCGAAGTCATTTTGATCTTCGATTATTGACTGCGATTCAGCCTCTGTTGTTGCCTCAATTGGCAACTGTTTCTGTGTTGTTGCTGGTTTATTGAAAGCCATGTCCCTCAATGTCAGTTGCTTGAGGCTGTTTTGCTTCTTTGGTGATGATTCTGTCAGTTCTGGTGACTTTGATGAATTTTCTGTGTTGAGTTTTGACAGAATTTTGATCGAGTTCTCGATTGCTGTCTTTGTGGCATTTGACGATGCCTTTTGTGTAGCTTGATATGTTGGAACTTCCTGCAACATTTCCTGAAGTCTGTTAACTTGTTTGAAACTTCCTCCATATCCAAAACTAACAAATTCATCCAAAATCTGGACTCTTTGGACACATTCTTCTGGCTTTGGTACCTTGTTGGGCTCAACTGTCATGAATGCCTTTTCTGACATCATTCTGTTCTGGTCCATTGTCTTGTTCCTTGATTCTCTGATTTTGTTAATGTAGTTGATTCTATTTTGTTCTGCATTCGAGGCTTTACATTGATAGATGCTAGGATGTTGTACGAAGTTAATGACTTGCTTTTGAACTTGTTGATTGTAGCTGAAGTTCTGTGTCTGAGCTGAGTTAAAGCTCAAGTTTGATGCTCCTTGTTCTTGAAATTTTGCTTCCATTCTTTGATGTTTTTGTGTTTTGTAGTGACGAGTTAACGATGAATATGCTGTAAAGTCCTTGTCGCAGATTGAGCATGCAAATCCGCTTTTAAAGACTGCATTGCTCTCGGCTTGTCTGATGACTTCTTGTTTAGCTACTTCTGGTATGAAGGGCTGGCTGTTCTGAAGTTGGAACTGTTGCTCTGTGATTGTCAAGTCTGTTGCTCCCAATTCCGCATTCAAGAGCTCATCCAATGCTGGAAATTCTTCAGTTAATTCCGTCAATAATTCAGAGAAGTCTGCTGCATCTTCAAACAACTGCTCAGCCTCACCAAAGTCTTCAATGTCCATTTCGTCCAAATCATTCTCAATTTCAGTAGCACTGAGTGTTGAGTCGAAGCTTAAGTTGCAGGCTTCTTCGTCTTCTGGAGAATATTTGACATTCTGATCAAATTTTGTCAAGTTGCACATGAAGTTATCTTCTGGTTGCTGGTAAACTTGGGTGAAGTTGTTGACATTTTGTTGGATTTGACTGAAGATTCCAAGTGATTCGGACATGTTTGTGGAGTTTTGTTTAATTACGGAATTGATGTTCTTCATTTTGATTTATTTGAATCAAGTTTTTGATAAATTTTGAGAATTTCGTTGATTTTTTTGAGAATTTTCGTTGACGAAATTTGTTAAACTTTTTGAGAATTTCTGGAGATGTTGTTTGTGTAGTTTCAGATACGATACTGATGATTAGGACCAAATTCTGAAACTATTTATATTCTCAAAAATTTCAGGTATTGAGATTTTGTCCAAAGAACTAAAATCTTTGTTATTTTTTCGACCTGAAGATTCTAAAACTTTAGGTAATTTTGACTATTGAAAAGATTTTGAATGTAAACAAATTGAGATTTGGCAATTAAAAGTATTAAATGGTGATGAAGAATAATCATTCCTGACCATCCTATAACAATATCCCACAACTTGTTGCATTCAACGTCAACCTCTCCCTCCTTACTTTGCCATCGGACACGAGCGAACGGCGATTCCAAGAAGAATAAAAAAATAAATCCTTTCGTCCCCTTCAATTTTACAACATCTTCTTTCCCTAATGTGACATTAACCTTATTACATGCTGCATTGCTGACCCTTCCTTACAAGTAAATCTCAATTTTATTATGATTACCATGACAACTTTATTTTCATGATTATTGTCGATTAAATGAGATTTTTATTGTTCGTAAGGGTTTGAGTGACTTTTACTTTTTGAGGGGTTCGGACCGGAGTTGATTTTCATTGTTGGTCAACTTTTGAAGGACTTTTGTTTATGTTTTTCAATTTTATTATTGTTGAATTTTATTGTTGTTAAGGTAAGCAATCGAGATAAATTTAATTTGAATTAAATGAAAATATTTTTATGCATCAGAAGATTTTTGAAAGGGGTCAGTTGATTAGCTTTGTTAACACTCAATGTAGGTCAGTTGAATGATGTTTAGTGGGCTGTGGAATTTTCTAGTTTCGAATGAGGGCTGGAGGCGTTTTAAGACAAAATATATGTTTTGAGGGGTGTCAAACTTAGGATTTTTCGGGGGTGTCAAAATAAGATTTTAAGGGGTGTCAAACTAAGGATTTTTCAAAGGGTGTGAAAGTAAGATTTTAAAAGGTGTAAAATTAAAAAATTTCAGGGGTGTCAAACTGTGAATTTTCAGGGGTGTCAAATTGAAATTTTTTAGGGGTATGCAACTATGACTCTCAGATGTATCAAACTATGACTCTCAGGTGGATCAAACTATGACTTTTCAAAAGTGTTCAACCAAAAATTGTTCAAGAGTGTGACACTATATATTATCAGGGGTGTCAAACTAAGAATTTTTCACGATTGCAAACCTTTGAAATTTTTAAGGGTGTCAAACTATGATTTGTTCAAGGGTATTAAACTACAATAAATCATCAAAATACATCAAAAAATCAATTCCGTCGGCAAACAAGTTCACAGTTATTCTCATCAATCCTTTTTTAAACCATAAAACTCAGCACCTCGACATCCCACACAGCACATCCATCCATCATTTTGAATCCTCAAATAAAATAAAAACATAATTTCTAAGCCAACGAAAACTCAAACCTTCGCATTAGCTCCACCAAAATTACATTTTATTTCAATTTTATATTCATGAAAAAGAAAATCACATTCTAAATATATAATAAAATATTTTATTTTTTTTCTCACATAACATACAAATGTGAAAAAGTGGGCGTGGCACGTGCAAAAAATATAATAAAACGCTGCTTTTCAATGCGAAAGCACACGCGAAAAATTATTTTTTTATTCGTTATGCGAGATGAAAGTTTTTCTCTCTTTTTTTGGTACACGTTTGTGAAAGGCTGAATGACGTCAATGAGGGGCTTTTGTGTAATGAAAATATCATTATGATACAAAAATTGCTGAATAATTGGTAAGGTAAATTGCTTAATCACCTCTAATGGTGTTTAGGGAGGTGTAATTAGAATTTATTGAGATGGATGCTGCTTTGTGAGGAATTTTTTGAATTCGTAGTTTGACACCGCTGAAAATTCTTAGTTTGAATCCTCTGAAAATTTTTGGTTTTACACCCCTGAAAATATATTTTTTTTAATTTTGCATATTTTATTTTAATAAATGGTACAAAAATATCAAAAAATTTTGAGGTTAGTCCGGTCAATCCTAGCCCTTAACAGAAGTTCTGATCCCTCTTGCACAGCTCAACATACCAACCAACCTGGAACTGACTATGATCTGGCAAACTCTTCACATATTCTTCACCAGCTTCAGCCAAAAACTCTTTTGATGGTGGGAACAGCCTCTTAAATCCACCAACATTCTGTTGCTCAGTGTATGCCAAGACAGTCTCATAAAATTGATTCTGGTTCATGCATCTCATACAGTATGCACACTTCCCTGAACATCCACCTTCACAGTCATAGATGCAGAACTCTGGCATGACATTTCTAGCATTTGCATGCACAACCATCATTTCTAACTCAACAGATTCCATAATAAAGTCTTTTTTGACATACGGAGTAGCCACACCGATGATTTGGAAGACATTGTAGAGAAGGTTTTCGTAGATTGAACGGAATCTTGCGTACTTTCCTGATCCTGAGATGTCTGGGTTGGCATTGATGTTGATGATGTGTGGGTTGAGGGACTCGTCGATGATGAACTCAAAGGAGTAGAGCTCGAAGTACATGTACTTCATTTCTTGGATCTTCTCGTGCTAAAATTGAGGGAAAGAGAAGAAATCGTTAGGAACTGATGGTTAAAAACTTTACTATGACTTAAAATTACTGACTGTAACATGATAAAATATCCTTATAATATTCCTAGCTTAACCCTATCCCTAACCTAACCCTATCCCTAACATAACCCTATCCCTAACCTAACCATATCCCTAACCTAACCCTATCCCTAACCTAACCCTATCCCTAACCTAACCCTATCCATAACCTAACCCTATCCCTAACCTAACCCTATCCCTAACCTAACCCTATCCCTAACCTAACCCTATCCCTAACCTAACCCTATCCCTAACCTAACCCTATCCCTAACCTAACCCTATCCCTAACCTAACCCTATCCCTAACCTAACCCTATCCCTAACCTAACCCTATCCCTAACCTAACCCTATCCCTAACCTAACCCTATCCCTAACCTAACCAATCAACTACTCACCAAATCAAGGAACGATTTCTCTTTAGACACAACAGTTGTCCTTATAGCATCCTCAATATTCTTCCAAAAAGTATCTACGTTCTTGTTCTGCTTAGTCAAAAATCCATTAATTGCATCACGGAATGTGTATGCATTCAAGAAGTACTCTCTAGTTCCAAGGAAATCCAATGGTGCTTGATGTGACTCACTGACCACAAACGAGTCTTCATCGCTGAAATCCTGATGGTCGTAGTCCTCAGGACAGAATCTAGGAACGACATTTTTTGGGAAGTAGTAAAGTCGAAGAGGATTGACGGATGTGATGAGGACAAAGACTGAAAGTTCAAAGAGCTTGCCATCGAACAAAAGTGGCTTTTCGACAAGTTCCTGGACGAAGTATTCTTCATCGGATGTAAAGTTCATCTTATTGACATTCTTGACGTAGCTGACTCCACCTCTTGTCTTTGATTTCTTCAAGAACTTCTTCTTTGGATTCTCTTTTGCATAACTTTTAAGCTCATCGCTGTCTACAAATCCCTTTGGGACATACTTGGAGTCTGTGTTGGTCGCAAGGTAGCTCTTAGATGACAAGTACTTGCTCCATGGGAAATGATTGAATTTTTGATGATATTTCAGTTCCTTCCAGTTCATTGCGATTGTCTTCTTCGTACTCCAAATTAAATTCCATCCTTCGTGGTTGTTTTCCTCTTTCAATGACCCGTTGTGCCTTTCCAGTCCACAGCGATCGAGTACGGCACTTACTGTTGATAAATCTTCATCCACATTATCGCCAATTAGCCAATATTTTGGACTATCGTAAGATTTTTTCTTCGCTGGTGCTGATTTTTCTGACGTGTCTTCTTTCTTATCGTCATTTCTATTGACAACTTTAACTTCTATTTGCGGCGGTGCCTCTGGTTTTGGACAAATTTCGTAGTTGTCTACAGCATACTTAAGAATTTCTTCATGTTTAAATGCTATGAATATTGCTGTGCCTAGAATCACTAGGGTTAAAACCTTAGAACAAAATCCCATGTGGATAGAACTAAATTGTTTGTGTCGTCGATTGAAATGTTGGATGTGAACTGAAGCTATTGGAGGAGAAGATATGAAGTATCTTATCTGAAATTCTATTAATCTGTGATAAGATAGCGCTAGCTATAAGGGAGTATTGAGGTAGATTGGTAATATTTATCAAGGATGCAGCACCTGCGTTTGAGTTATGTAATATTGCTTATCAGTTATTGCTTAATTGATAGCTACTAAGTTGATAGGGATTTTTTGTTTATGTTTTGAGTTTTTGGTGACGACCAGACTGACAGCCAAACAGCCACACATACAAACAGTCAAACAACCATACTGACTCACGAACGAGTAGACAAAAGGGCTTCAAGAGTCAACAATAACAACAATATCTTTACAGCAACATCCTGCACACATCTCATCCATCATCAATCCATCAAAAAAACTCGCTCAATTCCAATTCCAATTCCAAATGACAAACTACACAAAATAAAACTTTAATCAAAAACTTTTCAACTAAATTAATTCGAATCAAGAAAAACTTTTTTTATTTTTTTCAGTAGCTTTTCAATTTTTTTTCCTACTTTTCGAACTCAAACAAATGAAAATCAATTTGTTCAATACAAGAAAGCAAGAAGCTTGTCTACAATCAAGAAATTGATTTCAACTTCAGAACCAATTTGCTGTCGTCTTTTTTGTTTGTCATGATTTCATTTTTTCAGCGCTCTTTTGAATTTTTTTTTCTTAATGCTTTTTTCTTGGAGGAGTTGGTTGGGGTTTGTGTGGAAGTAATGGCACCATGTGTAAGAAATATGGTTATGTGTTGGTCTCGGAAGGTGTTTGATACTTGTTTCGGTGGTCGAACAGATCAATTGAGATCCATAACCTCCCTCAGATGCTGCCGGAAGCTGTCTCTATAGCTAATACGTGCTAGAAGTTAAGGTCTTGTGTTTACTGCAGCCAAAGGAGCAGATTACAGCCTGAGTCATGAGATAAACATTAAAATTGCTCAATTCTGTCAAAACCTTCTTTCAGATCTGCTTTGTTTTTTCAAAAAGAATCATCAAACTCATCCATAATCTGCCATAGTCCTTCTACAACCCCTCAAACATGTAACATCACATGCAAATGAACCCCAATTATTGTTAAAGGAAACGAGAAAAGAAATCAACTTGAATTTTTGATGAGAATGCAGATTTTTTTTTGTTCAATGTTTAATGGGTTTGGAAGATTTTGCAGTTCGGAGCACTTTTTGTTGGTTTTTGTCAATGATTTGAGAATAAAAAAATAATGTTGACTGTAGATTGTACATATTGGATTGAGGTGGTTCCATGAATTAGGTTGATAATGACAGTTTTGAGAGGCACAGGAAGGTTCAATCAGGGTATGTGAGGCTACAAAATCGTAGCTGGCAACCTTTTAAGCGCTACAATATACCTCAACCCTGAAAACAGTCAATAGACACCCGTGAGCATCCTTTAAGCTGTCCACTACTGCTGTAAATGATTTGGGCTGTTTATTTTGTATCTCAGGCGTTTAACAGCATTGAACCAAAAATCCAGAAGATTAATTCAATAAAAGTATGTAGCCGTAAACGTAATTTTGAAGATCTAACTGAGCAAAACCTCAAAATATTCAATCCTCTCTTAAACACAACCCAAAATCATCAGCACAATCCCCACAAATCCATCTCAAGGACATCGACGTCTTTTCTCAACATTAATATCAAAAAAATATTTTTGTCGTCAAATTCCATCCTCTCATTATTTTTTCATCATCTTTTGTGTTGCGTCTTTTGTTCTGCATTTTCCACTGTTTTCCTTTCCATTTCTTTAATTTAAAGAAATTCAGCACAAAAAAAAGAAGAAAATTTAAAGACGTTGGCAAAGTTTTTTATTGTGACTGTGGAGATGACTGAGGACTGGCAGGCAAAAAGACAGCAACAACAGCACAAAAATAGTTGAAAATTTCCAATGTGGTTTGAGGGAAAAGTCATTAGTGGATTTATGCTGCACACAAACACACTCGCAAGTTCCTTCGTCTTCGACTTTGCTTTTTCCTTTTTTTTTTGCTGCATTAAGAAAATGAAAATAAATATTTTTAATGACGCTGAGAAATCTCATTCCAGTTATGCTGCTCATCTTCATCAACATTGACTGACTCTTCTCTGTGCCTTGAAACTCTCATATCGTCCATTATCCATGAACATGCAATGATGTTTCACAACCCTCAACTTTTTTTTACTTCTTTTTCTCCTTATTGATATTATTATTTTTATTTTTATTTTTATTATTCAAAGGAGCCTTAGCTTTGATGCTTTGTCTTCTTGGACAAGGAATGGACACCTTGGAGGGGATTGATATCGGTTCTTCTTGTTTTTTACCATAAATTTGGATTTTTGACTAAGTTTTTGATAACATTCAACAAATTCATGAACTAAAGTAACTCCGAGTGTCCATCCCTTGACTCTAAGTTCCTTAATCGCACCCCACCTCCATAAACCATTCCCAATTGTTTCATATCCCAGGACATGAAGGATTTTTCTTCAACATTTCTTATTTTTTCTTCTTTTCTCCACTTTGTAACAAAAAAATACAAAAAGCAGCATCAAGAGTGCCAGTAATGGTGATAGTATAGAGCATGTGCGTGTTCATATAGCATTCATCGTCCCCTAATTATGCACGAAGGATTTTTTTCCTATTTTTTTTTTACATTTTTACGACACAAAAAAGTTAAATTAAGAAAAAAAAGGAGGAAAAATCACCCTCGAGTCACTCATTCTTCTGATGCTGTTATTGTGTGCATGCAAAGGAGATTTTTTTTATGTACTTTAATGATTTTGAATATCTCGCGGACTGAAGAATGGAACAAGAGAAAGTTGGAAAGTTTATTAAGAAAAATGAGAGAAAATTTATTGATTTTTTTTTTGGGTTTTTAAATTGTTGTAAAATATTTTTTCGGATTGAGAATTTTTGGAGGATTTTGAGGGATGAAGACGGACAAGATTTAAAATATTTGTTGATTTTTGAAGCTTTGGAAGGATATTGAAGTCTGAAGAGGCACCCTGAGGTCTGTTTTTGGAGATTGGATGTTCAATATGAACAAAGTGGTGCTAATTGTGTCTTAGGAACCTCGCAGTAGTACAAAGTCTCAATTCATATAAAACATTTGTGTCAAAAGTTCAATTTTACTCAAATCAGTCGAGCATATTCTCATACAAACCGACGGTTATTTAACAAAATGTTCCAAAAATCAGCGAAAATTCAATTTAATTTATTTTTAATTTTTCATCACTTTCTCGTAAAAATTCCACCAGTCCAACCTCAAAATCACCCCAATCAGCCTCTCAACATCCCAACCAAGACTCAACAAGACATATATTCGGGGTTATTCGCCATTCATGTCCTCATCGCGCTTTATTTTCCATTCAAATCCATTAATTTTCATTTTCTTCAACTTTCTCTTTTTTTGTGCTTCATGCCAATCTTCATTCCTTATATCCATCCTCACCAAACCTCATTCCACATCCAATTCCATTCATTCCATTTATTCACCATCACCATAGTCATCATAGTCATCATCTTAGTAAGTCCTCCGTACATTTAATGCTGTAAATGAATAAAAATATGAAGCAACGCACAGAACAACTTCATGGACATGAGGTGGGAACGGGGGGGGGGGGGGGACGAGATGGGGTGAAATGAATTTAAATAAAGAAAATTTTCTTCTTTTATTTTTCGCTTGTTTTTGTGTTTGTGAGTTGAGAGAAAATAAAATAAAGGAGGAAGGAAGGCAGGCAAGGAATGAAGTGAACTCACCCGTGAATAAATTAAAAGATATGAAGACGATGTGGAAGGTTTTAGGTTGGGTTGGAGTGAAGCAATGGGCAGAAAAATCCATAAAAATGAGGAGAAAAGTGATAAAAAAAATCGGGGTTTGAGGCTTGAGGTGTTTTTTTTGAGAGGATTTTTTTATTTGAGCCAAAAAACTCATTCAACAAACTTTATATAAAATTTTTCATGTGGTTGCAGCATTCGTCTGATGAGATTCTGATTAAGTTTTATTTATTTTTTTCATATTTCCTTTCATTTCCACTACTTATTAATGAGTTTAAAAAACTCTTTTTGCAGTTCTCAGACTGCTCAGAAAAATATTCTCATTTAATTTACTTTTTTTCCTTCTTTAATTAAGTTTTTTTGCTGCTTATTGCTGATTCTGATGGATTTTATAATATTTATTTTATTTAATGAGATGAAAATTGCGAGGAAAAATTTTTATTTATTGAAAAAAAAATATTTTCTCTTGAATTTTTTTATATTTATTTATTTTTGTGCAAAAGCAGGTTTCAGGTGAGGGTTGGAGGTGCACTGGAGATGAGGATGGAAAATTCATATAAAAAACAGAAATTGAAATTCTAGAAAATAATTGAAATAAAATGAAAAAAATGTTCTTGAAAATCGCTAGGCGACGGTAATTTTGGTTAATGAAGATTTTTTGGAATTTTATTTATTGCATGTTATTGAATTTTTCAAATTTTGTAACATTAAAAAAATAAAAAAAAATTGAAAAATTCAAAAAAATTGAAAAATTCAAAAAAATTGAAAACTTCAAAAAAATTGAAAAATTCAAATAAATTAAAAAATTCAAAAACTTGAAAAATTCAAAAAAATTGAAAACTTCAAAAAAATTGAAAAATTAGAAAAATTAGAAAAATTGAAAAAATTGTAATAAAAGAAAAATTTAAACAAATTAATAAAAAAGAAAAAATTGAAAAAAATGGATGAAATTGAGAAATTAAAAAAAAATAAAAAAATTAAAGAAAATTGAAAAAAAATGGAAAAAATGAAAAAAAGAAGAAAATTGAAAAAAAAAATATTTCTAAGGCAAGGATCATTCCCAAATGACAAATCTGATCTTATCCATACTAAACCTCCATTCAAAACCTTTCGCCCACAGGTTTAATCGTCAATTGCGTCACATTCACATTCCAAGGCGTACTCAGCATATAAATAACACCTTCAGAAATACTTTCAGGCTCCAAGCAAGGTCTAGTGTCATAAAATGTATCAGCATCCTGTCTACCAGCAGCATGTCCAATATTAGTCCTCACAATCCCCGGACTAACATTCGCGACTCTTATCTTATCATTATCAGCCACAATCAGCTCTTGACGAATTATCTCAGTCAATGACCGAACAGCATACTTTGTTGCTGGATATATTGATGATGTGTTTGGGAATTTAATCATGTTGTCATAAACTGAGCCTACATTGATGATCATTCCGTAGTCATCAGCTACTTTCATTAGTCTAAAGGCTTCTCTTGTTGTGTGGACAAGTCCAGTAAAGTTGATGTTGATGACTTCATTCAGTCTTGCAGTTCTTTCATCACTTGGATCCAGAATATCATCGTAGAACGAAACTCCAGCATTGTTGATGAGGATATGGACTTTTTGGAATTTTTCTTCAATCCATTTGAAGGTTTTTTTGACTGAGTTTAAATCGCCGACGTCACATTTGTGTGAATGAATTTTTCCAGGTGCTGAGGTTAGTTCCTTTGCAATTTCATCGACTTTTTCAGAGCGACGAGCTAGTCCAATGACAATTAAACCATGTTGAGCTAAATCTTTGACTATTGCAGCTCCGATTCCGGATGAAGCTCCAGTGACTACTGCAATCTTACCGACCCATTTGTCCATGATTTCTATTTAGATGATTTCGGTAGGAAATAGTGCGTTTGGGTAGGAAAACACTGAATTTACCCTAACTTTGTGAAAGATTTTAAGAAAAATCAATAAAAGAACGTTCAATTGAAGCAATTTAGCAAGCAGAACAGCCTAATCAACTCAAAATTCCACAACTGACTGAGCACAAAATATACAATCTTATCAAATTCGAGAGCACTTCAAAGCTATTTCCACTTACTTATCAGTGGTTTACTTTCAAAGATAAGATAGATGATTGTAAGAATGTTCTAAACTCTGGCTTTTAATCTAATTAGCCAGTTGCCCAGCCCCTTCCCCCCAAATAAAACTAGAAAATGCTCAACTTTTTATTTTATTTAACTCCATTTACAATTTTTCCCCAACTGGCTTAATCGTCAACTGAGTCACATTCACATTATGAGGTGTACCAAGCAAATACAGCACACCTGCTGAAATGTCTCTGGGCTGAAGACAAGCTACACTTTTGTAGAACTGATCAGCATTCTCCAAACCAGCAGCACTAACAATGTTTGTTTCCACAATTCCTGGACTTAAGTTTGACACTTTAATCTTATCATTTTCACCTACAATCAGTTCCTGTCTAATTATTTCAGTCAATGCTCGGACGGCATGTTTTGTTGCTGGATAAACCAATGATCTGGTTGGGAATGGAATGACTGAATCCAAGACTGAACTAATATTAATGATCATTCCGTACTCATTTGATGCTTTCATTAATCTGAAAGATTCTCTTGTTGTATGGACGAGTCCAGTAAAGTTTACATTGATGATTTCATTTAATTTGGTTGTTTGATCTTCACTGGAATCGAGAACACCTCCAATGTAAGCTAGACCAGCGTTATTGATGAGAATATTGACTTTTTGGAATTTTTTCTCAATCCACATGAAGGTTTCCTTGATGGAGTTTAAATCACCGATGTCACATTTGCGTGAATAAATTTTTCCAGAAGCTGAGCTTAGTTCTGCTGCGATTTCATCGACTTTTTCAGAGCGACGAGCTAGTCCAATGACAGTTAAACCGTTTTGAGCTAGATCTTTGACTATGGCTGCTCCAATGCCTGACGAAGCTCCAGTGACTACTGCAATCTTGCCAATCCACTTGTCCATAGCTAGTTGATGCAAAAATTGAATAAAATCTATAAAAACTGAGCCGACTAAGCTGAATTGAGGAAAGAAACTGAACAAAGAACACATAAAGTTGTTATCTTCTAAGAGCATAGTTCCTAAGTTATCAGTTGATAATGAGCTATTGTGATTAGATACCTAAAAAAATCAGAAATTGTCGAACTGTAAGACGAGACACACTTTGCAACAATTTTAAAAAAGAAAATCCTGCAAACCCAAGAAATTCCATAAACAACAATATCTCACAAGACAATGCAATTCTTCAAACAGCAAAACAAGCCTTTAACATGCCACCTTTATCAATCATCAGCAACTGTCGTTGACCTTCCATTAAACCTCAACATGACCTACACATTATCATCATCATCAATTGACCCAAGTCATGCCATCCAACACGGCACTGCACATCTAAAGTGTATCGCGAGGTTGCACTTAAAACTATTAAAAATGCTCAGCACTGCTTGCTCTTGCTCCTTTGCCTTGCTGTGTTCTGTAAACATAAATTCGTCACGTAATTCAATTTGATATGCGCGAGCATTAAAGCGCCCTTCAATCTTCATTTTAATCAATTTTTTATTGGAAATGAAAGAAATTTCAAAGTTTAAAGGCATAATGTACAGTGTTGTGGATGTAGATGAACGTAAATTAATGGAAAAATAAAGTTAAGAAGCTATGAGAAGTGCTGAGGTGATTTTTGCTTCAAAAAATGATGAAAAATTCAACAAAAAATATCAAAAACAAGTCGGAATTAAAGTTTCATGACTTAAAAATTCAAAAATATGAAAAGCAGCAGATCTAGCAAGATTATCCAGCATAATCTCATCAAATTTTCATCCCAACATGTTCCAACATTTAATAAAACATTAAAAATATGAGAAAAAAATCCGCAAGCACCTTTTTAATCTCATTTTATTTACTTTTTTTGCTGTGTGTTTGTCAGTCACAGACAGCAACAGAAGCAGGCAGACAGGCTGGATGAGTAGGAATGAGATGAGAAATGTTCATAGAAAGACGAATTATTGGCATTAAAAATTATCCTCAAGAGACGCATTTTGAAGTGAGTTATTTTTTGGCGATGATTTTTATGCTCAATTTGGGATGTGAGGGGAGATTTGGTGACTTTTTGAAGGGTTTTTTGGACTCTAAAAATGTTATTTTAAATTTTTGATGATTTTTGAAGCAGTTTTGTGTTCAAAAAGACCAATTTCAATGATATTTAAACTTGTTGTCACCAAGTTATGAGGATTGACTTCTTCAGACCCTCTTTAGTCATCTAAAACTTTGCTAAAATACGTCAGTTCCATTTTTGAAACTTTCATACTCATTTGAAATCTTTCAGCCACCTTAAGATCATTTCACATCATCAAAAACCTCATCAAACCCCTTCAGATCTTCTAAAACCTTACATAAACCTCCTTAAGTCCTCTCACGCACTCAAAACTGCATCAAATTCCAAGAACAACGAACCAAATCTCAATTTTGTCTATTTCTGCTGCCGTTGCATGATTTATTGCGCCACATAACAACATTGCAAATTATTTCTCATTTTATTTTGATCGCATTTCATTTTTTATTGAGTCAGTCCATCCATCTACTGAACTGTAATGCACGTAGAAACTTTTTTATATGAGATTTTATGAATCTTAAGTTCACTTCATACACGTTCGAGATTGCTCATAATTCTTGACTGAAGCTTGATGCTGATGATGGGGATTCAATCAAATTGGCTTTTTATTTGAATGAAAAAATTGTTTAGAAATGGAACGTTTATTTTTGGTGTTCTCGGTGCTATTGAGATGCAGTTTGGGGTTGACTGGGATTTTTTTAAAAGATTTTGTGGTATTTTTAATTTTTTCAATTGTTTTAAACTTTTTTAATTTTTCCAATTTTTCAAAAATTTTAAATTTTTTTTAATTTTTTTAAATATTTTATAAAGTTTGAATTTTAAATTATTTAAAATTTTTTTTTGACTTTTAATAATTTTTTCAATTTTTTTTTTGATTTTTTATACAATTTTAATTTTTTTTCTATTATTTCAAAAATTTCTAAAAACCAACAAAGTCAATAAGTTCCCAAAAAGTGCGCTTTGTGCACCTCATACCCCAATAACTACTCACATTATATCCAATAATTGAGCAGTAATGCACATTTCAGTGTTATTGATCATGTAAGTTTGAAGAAATCGAGTTAAAACCAAAGCAAAAGCAGCAACAAAGAAGACGAAAAAGAAGGCACAAAATTAGACATCAATCGATCATCAACTGGCAGCAGCAGCAAGCAAGCAGCAAAAGCAAAAAAAAAAAAATGCGAGAAAGAAGAAAAAAAGTTGAAATAAAAAGTTTTTAACATCTCAATAAAGTAAAAGAAAAAAATTGAATTTCGCAAAAATTTCTCATGCCGTTCCGGCATTTTCGTGATTGAACTATTGACCAGCATCAGCATCAGCAGAAGTAGTTGTGGATCATGAAAAGTTTCATAATTTTTTGTTTGTTTTGATTCTCGAGCTCTCGTCTGTGCTGCACATTTTGTGTGTCTTGGACTCGATTTATTGCTGTTTGAATAATTTTTCAACAAGATAATCAACATGTCATGACTTACATGCTTATTTGCAGCTATAGATCTCTCTTTTATTCATTTCTATGCATGCATATTGCAATTATGAATAGCTTGTACTCATCTTGCCTTATTATTGGTGCTGTTAAGATTTATGAACCACAAAACAAATTCAGGAACTGAAATATGAGAATCAGGCATTCTTAACTCAATTTTTTTGAATTATTAGATCTAGCTTGTCTGTGTATTGATTCCTGGGACTTGCTGCTCAATTTTAGAACCTAATGAACCTTCAAGAATCCAGAATCATAGCTTAATCTTACAAATTCCATTCCACAACATCCACATCCACCACCTGCATCAGAATCATCATTATCAAGTTATGCATATGCTGCATCTTCTGTAAGTGAAGCTCAGAGCTTGAAATTTATGAGTCTTAAGATGAATTCTGACACTAAATGCTGTTAAATGCCATGGTAATTCGCAACATTACCTGCCTTTTATGCTCAAAATAGTTTATGGCATGTGTGATTGAGATCATTCATGCACGACTTTTTAATGCTGTTTTATGCTGAATGGATGTATTTTTGTATTGCAGGTCGAGAGTAAAGTAAGTTTGAAGAATTATTGAGAATTTGGATGCTCGTGGATAATTATTGCAATACCGACACAGCGATCATGGGTTCGAGACTGGGCATGAGAAATTTTTCACTTGTCCTTTTTCGAATCATATGTACTGGAAATGAGGCTCACAGCCTTCCTTTGTAGGCTACAGGCAGTAATGTCATCAAAGGAGTGGTTCGGATCCCACTATAAATTGTAGGTCTAGGTTTGAGTGCAGTGGTTTGGCGCATCCTCACTCGTTAAACTTCCATTAGCTGCAAAACGCCCTAGCTCACCTCTGGATCACTATTGATCTGAATAAATAGGTAAAGGTTTTTTTTAACGCCTACATTATCGTATATAAGTTTCGAATGCAAAAACAGAAGTCTCTAAGTACTTCCAGTTCCGAGTTTTTGAGCCAGCCAGCCAACCAATCAGTCAGCCAAAGTTAAGGTAAATGCGCTTAAAAGGAATCACATTTGTGGGATACTTGAAGTTTCTATAAAGGAGAAAGGAGGTTTGGGTGGAAGGATGTTGATGTGTTTGATTGAAAAAAACTCTTTTTCAGCCATGTTGGAACTGCTTGTTCCTCTAAGCCACATACCAGTACTTCGATAAAACTTTTCAAATTCAAAAAAAATTTATTTTTTAAAAAAATTGTTCAAGTTTCAAAACGCATTTCTTTGCAATATTTGAATTTAATTAAAGTTAAGCAACAATAAAGCATTTAAAGCTTATCTTAGGCAATTCTGAAGCTTGCACAAAGCGAAATAATTGCAAATTTCTTGAGTTTTGGTGTTGTTGATGCATAATTGAGGTCAAAATATAATTTTCATTAAATTTAGAACACATTTTAGTAAATTTGCATAAAGTTTACAAAATAAAAGTAAATTTCATAGATCTGGTGCATAACTGGAAACATTTGAAGTATAAAAGAACCTAAATAAGTGGTTTACATTATAAAAACATCATATTTATTCAATTTAACACGTGTATGAGTGGTTATCAAGACAATTCGTGGTTACACGGTCGTTTCATAACTTTCAGTGAATTAAATTACGGTAGACCAAGTAGATACAACCCTGTTTTAACACAAACAATCACCGTAATACAGCAATTAGATTTGGAGACTTTAGACCAATTGCAATTCCAGTAACCCAAATATTAGATCCATTTGGGGAAATAAGTTTTCATTCTAACCAAATTAACGGAATCATTTCAGCATTACCATTTACATTCCCACAATTCCCCCAAATCCAAGCGAACTTTTCAAGCTATACCGCTACAAAGATAACATGTTATTTCGTCATAGATAAGAATTATTTAATTTTGTTACATTTGTGTTGGAATTTGACAAATACGATCAAGTTTTTTTATTTTCTCGAAAACATTTTTAAATTTTTTAAATTCAACTTTTACAAAAACTTTAAAAGTTTGATTAATTGTGTCTTAGTGAAGTTAATGTGACCAATAATCTTGATCATATAAAGTTGAAGTGTAATTTTGTGAATTTCATCACTTTTTTTAAGGCACAAAAATTTTTGCTTGACATTTTTTCATATTTTATTTTGTAAGCTATGACTAAGCATGTGTGCTGATGAATAAAAATGAAGCAATAAATTTTCATACTATTTTTAGAAAAATTTAAACGCTGCGCAATGTCTGACGAGGTTTATGAGCAAGGCAGTTCCAGTTCTAAGCAATTTGAAGTCATTGAACCTCCAAAATCACCACCAAGTCTTCTCAGCGATGCAAATTTGATTAAAATTGATAAAAAATTAATCTTTAAATTATCAAAAGATGGCAAAAATGTAAAGAAGGAAGTCAAAAGTATCTGCAAAGTCCTTCATTTCTCATCCGAGTGGAGTTTTGAGGAAGTCATGACAACTATTGATGGATTGGACCCTAAAGAAAATCCACAACTGTTCATTTTCATGATTGAGGCAACAAATTTGGGATTTTCTTCAAATAATCAGGATGATTCATCAGCAAAAGTAGCACAAATACATCAAATGCTGCTCAAATTCAGCCTCACACGTCCAATGATCCTCCAACTTACGTCTGAAGATGAAAATATGTCAAAATTTTACTACAAAGATGAAAATTCGAACCAATTTGATGTTGTTGATGATTTGCAGCATAAGATTGAGAACATCAACAGTTTTTCAACATTTATGAGCTGTTTTCTGGATAGGAACTTAGTCAGTACTGAGAATAAGCTGCTTGGCATGCTTGACCAACTCCAAAATTCATCTACTTTTTTGAGATTCCTTAAAACCTTGAAATTAAGCGATAAATTCTTCCAAAAGTTGGTTCTTAAATGTTCAAAAAACTCATCATTGGCTGAATTTATGGCTGTTTTGGATGTTCCATTTGAAAATGACCAAATGACTCTAAATTGTAAAGCACAAAGCTACTTGTCTCAAGTATTTAAAGGTAGTCAACCTCTGGATGTATCAACATCAGTTCTTCTTACAGCTGTAGAGAACCAAAATGTAGAAGTCATCGACTATTTATTATTGGATCTTACTCATTTTATCCAGCAACTTCCATTTGATCATCAAGTTAAAGTTTCTACATCTGCCTTTGAGAGAGGTCAACTTCATGATTTCTGCAACTTGATTGATGTTGCTGACTTTCCATTTCCTGATAAGTTCAAAAAGGAACCAACTGAGCATGACAGATTTGAAGCAATTGTTGAAGAACGAGCAGAACTTGAAGCTGCAATAAAAGAAGAAAATTTTGATGGCATTGCCAAGTATACCAAAATAAATCAAAACCTTAAAGTTGTTTATAACATCAACAATAAATCAGCATTAAGTCTAGCTGCTGAATTTGAGAAATTGAGTGCATTCAACTATTTAAAGTTGAGTGGTTTCAAAACAACAAATCCGAATGAAAAACTTGAAGAATGTGAAAAAAAGACGAGGAAGTTTGTAGCACAACAGAGGAAGCAAAATGTCAGCACAGCTTTAATTGATGACGAAAGGTCTGTTAATTTACTGTGCAATAAGTCAGTAATTTGCAACAAGAGAATTAGTAAGGAACAAGAGATGAAATATAGGAAGAAGATCAGGAGCTGGTTTGAAGACATCAGCAAGATCCAAAATGGTTCAGAATTTCTTGATGTTGCTGCTTCCTGTCCTAAGCTGACAATCATCTTTGATTTCGAAAATAAAACGGTAAGTCAATTGCTGAGGATTCAGTTGAGTAAAAAAAATTATTTTTAAACTTTATTTTAATTTTAGGTAGAAAATGTCAGCTTATCCGGACCAAATGTAGAAGGTTCCATGTATCCGTTATCCAAGTGGATCTTCGTTGGTGCTAAATTGATTGATGATTCTGGAGCACAGCGTGAACAGAAGATCAAAGGAGTTTTGGCACACGAACTGTGTCATTATGTCATGCGACTAGTTTATGAGAATCAGGAGATGCCTTACTATAAGGACAGCAATGATATGAAGAATAAGTTTAAGGCAATTGTCAAAACTATCAACAAGTGGACAACAGAAGATTTAGAACGTCCTGATGATAAGTGCAATGGAATCATTTCATCAGTTTTTACAGCATATAAAGTTGAGGACTTCCATCCAGAGCTGATCGTCCGAGTTGTCCAAATCCTGTCAAATTTTGATGATTCCGAAGAGAAAGTGAAGCATCTTGAACTAAAATACAAAGTTCTCTTTGATTTCTGGTTCAATCAAGTTGTTCCTGATCTTCAAAAGTATCTTCAAAGAAATGAAGAAGTAATCAGGTTAAATAGAACTATTGAACTGCTTCCTGCTATTCAAAAACTTAAAATTAAGCTCCTTAATCAAGATAAAGTAACAAAAATAACTGAGAATAAAGTTGTTGTGGTAAAGACGAATGTACCGAAGCTGTTGCTCATCAACATCCATGAAGACCTCCAGAAGAAAGATCGAAGCTTGTTTAATTCACAAAATATTTTTATTGATCCTGAAAAGCTTAAAAACCTACAACTTTGGGATGATTATAATTCAATATGTTCTGACAATCAGGAACTAAGCATCTTTGTGGACTGCACACATGAAATTCCGGATAGTCTGGGAAGTATTTTCATCAACAAGGAACTAAATTTCATATTTATTGTGTCAAATGAGGTCCAATGTGAAAAAGTCAATGAAATTTTTAAGGAACAGGAAATTAAAAATGCAATAAAATTGGAAGTAACTTACAACTGGAAAGACTTGACAGAAGGAAGTCAAAATTTGATGTTGAAAACCAAAATTAACTTCCAAAATAATTCACAAATTTCATTGTTGGATCTTGTAATGAACAGAATTGAAACTGAGGAACCGACAACCAGCACAGCAGTAGAAAATGACAAGGAAGACATTAATGATCTGATAGATGAACAGCTTTTGAACTTAGTCCTGGAAAATCATCAAGTTTTAATCAACTCAAATGAAAATGATGACAAAAATTTTGACTTGCTTTACAAAAAAAGAGGTTTTGTTAAAAAGGTTATAATAACTGCAGAGAATGAGGAAGATGAGGATTCGGAGGATGAAAAATCAGAAGGATTATTTACAAAAATTCTCAACGTTTTTCTTAAAAACAAACCAAAAAATATAAATTTAATCAGAAGAAAAATTAAAAGCGAACAAATTTCACAAGAAAAACTTCTTGAAGAATCCAAAAACCAGCAATACGTCCTCATCTCAGATTATGCTGGAAATGGCAAAAGTTGGGCGATGAAAAACTTGTCGAAAATCCTTCGAGAACAAAATCCAACAAGTTGGGTGAGTTATGTGGACTTGAAGCAGTTCATTGACCAGTTTAAGGCACAAAAAGCCGAGCCAGACTTTTCATCTTTTATGATCGAGCACATTTTAAAGCCACAACAGCAATTTGAGGCCAAAATATTTCAAAAACTTTACAAGGACGGCCGAGTTTTCATTCTTTTTGATGGATTTGATGAAATTGCTCCAAATTATGCTGAATTTGTGTCTAAATTGGCACAGAACTTTCAACAAAATGGCGGAAATCAGCTGTGGATTGCAACTCGAGACTATTTTGAGGTTGATTTGATGGAAAAACTTAAGCTTAATGTTGCTTATAGTCTTGATGAGATGACAGAGTATGATGGAATTGACTTGATAGCAAAAAGCTGGCTATTGATGGATTTACAGAAAGACAATAATGAGCCAAAATCTAAAAAAGAGTTCGACAAGTTCATTAAATCGTCGCCAAAATATGAAAATTATCAACAAAAAGCTCGAAAAATAATCAAAAAAGCTGAAATTTCAAGATATAATTCAGTTGGACTTCCTCAATTGTTTAAAATGATTGCTGGTGGATTCAAAGATGAGGAAAATGTTGATGACTTGCAAGGAATTAAAATCTACGTTAAATTTATAGACATTCTTTACAAAAGATGGTCACAGGGCAAAGGTCAAATCAGAGACGAAGCAAATGTCAAAAGTCAGCGATTTAAGCTTAGTTTCTACAATTTTCATCAATTTCAAGCAGTTTTAAGTTTGTTCCCAGAATTGGCTAAAATCTTGTTTCCCAATTATGATGGCAGTGAATGGCCACAGGAAGAAGTCATCGCTTGTGCCTTAATGAGCATAAAAAATGGAAAAATTTATTTTCCTCACGAGACATTCCGAGAATATTTTGTGGCTGATGCTATTGTTAATGCTTTACAAAATAAGGAAACAGAAAAAAAAGTTTTAAAATTTGTGGAAAAAATTTTTTACACCGAAAAATTTAAAATCATCAAAATTTTTATTTTAAATGCAATTAATGAAAAATCTTTACTGGAAAAAGTTAAGCCACAAATGGAGAAGCTGATTTATTGTGCAGATAGTTTTGGACTGATTTTTACCGAAAATCTTGAGAATCTTGCGGATTTTTCAATTAAAGTGCTTAAAAATGGAAATTATAAAAGCGTTAAGGATGTGTTGGATAGAAATACTGAGATTATTGTAAGGAACATCAAAAGTGCAAAACTGTTTTCAAAATTTCAAGATTTTATTTTTGTTTTCTTAAAAATCGACGACTTGAAAGTTTTAATCCTCAAAAGCTGTGTTCTTCAAAGAATCGTCAAATCAAGTCTCGGAATTGAAAGTTTTAAAAATTTTGTGACAAGAACAAAAGAAAAAACTGATCGAGAATTTATCAGACAAGGATTGATGGTGAGGAGCAGTGATCGGCATAAAGGCAACATTTTTTACTTCTTGACTGAATCCACAAATTTAAATGCTCAAAAAGTCCAGAAATTCTTAAAAATCATGGAAAAGTTCTTCGCAGCCACTGAAATAATTGAATTAATGAGCAAATGCGACGCGGAAGGACGAAATATTTTACAAGTTTGTGTTTGGGTAAAAAACGAAGTAAATTTGAAAATTTTGTGGACAGAAATTGAAAAATATTTTGAAGCCAAAAATTTACCAAAAACTTTTAAAAAACTTGTTAAGCAACAAGACAGGTTGAAAGAAAACATTCTTCATTATGCTGCCAATTGTGACAAGATTGAAGTTCATGAGACTTTATGGGAACTTTTGCTCAAAAAAATTGAAGATCGAGACGAATTAAAGGATTTTATTCTGGACAGTTTTGTAAACAACTTTGTTCATGAACTTGTGAAGGAAAATTTAAATCCAGCAATAATTGAGTTGACATTTAAAAATCTAAAAGAAAACTTCAGCGATGCTCAATTTCAAGAAATTTTAACATCAAAACAAAGGTGGGAAATGAATTTGCTTCAAAATGCTGCATTGTGGTCAAAAGTCATCGAAGTTCATCAATTTTTATGGAAATTTTTCCGAGAATTTTGTGGAACTGATGCAAAGTATTTGGAAATGCTCAAAGAAGTCGATGAATTAGGACAAAATATTCTTCAAATTGCTGCCGAAAATGCATCGAGTGAAGTTTTTGAGTTTTTGATTCAAGAATTAGAAAAAATTGCATCAAGAGATGAAATCAGGCAAATGTTAAGGAATTCAAATAAGTTGAATCAAAATTTGTTGCAGTCAGCAGCAAGTTCGAACAAATCTTCAGAACTTCATAAAACTTTATGGAAAACTTTGCGAAAATATTTTGAAAAATCAGAAATTTTGCAGTTTATAAAAAATGTTGACGTCGATGGAAATAATCTTCTTTTTAATGCTGTAAATGGATGGAACAAAAAAGAAACTGTGGAACTGACTTGGAATGAATTTAAAAGTTTTTTGACGCACGACGAACAAGCTGAATATTTAACAATGAAAGGAAAAGATGACAAAAATTTAAAGCAAATATGTAGCAAATACGATAAGGAACTAAGCGCATGGATTGAATCCCAAATAAAATATTACAAACTAGTTTTTTAAAAACATTCAAATCCAATCAAACTTATAAAATACCCCAGATTAAAAGTTTATTTCGTACCTTTAATTTACAAAATAATTAAAATAAATAAATAAATATTTAAAAATTAATTGCAATTAATTATTATTTTCATTATTTTACGCTCATTTTTGGCACTTTCTAGTCAGCACTCCAAAAACTTTAGTCTGTAATTAAATAAAGAAGCAAGCAAGCAACATTTCTCAACTTGAAATTGTGTTGATTTATTTCTGTTGAAAGTTGAAATGTTGAATTTTGTGAATTTTTGGCAAAAAATGTGGAACGCTTCACGATTTTGCGTGTCATCCTTGCGCAGGGGCCATGCTAATCTTCTCTGTATCGTTCCAATTTTAGTATATGTTCTGCCGAAGCAAGAACAAAATTGTGTGTGGCAAAAAGTCTACTTAAGCTACACATGTCCTTGATATTGTCTTGTGAAGTATAAGATTTGGTATAAAAATCACTGAAAGTGGAACTGAATGGAAAATGGAACGGAATTGAAAGAAATTTTAGTCAAATTGAATTTTTGCAGGTAAATTTTGAGATTTGATTCTTTTTGGATGAGTTTTGATTCCATTTTGAATGTTATTGAATTTATTGACGAACATTTGTCAACTTTCGAACCAAAACCATGATTTTTTGTGAATATTTTGCTTCAATTTGCCATTTCAACTCTAAAAAACTGTCTAATTTGCTTTCAAAGTTCAAGAACAGCACCAAAAAAATCACATTCGATGCAAAAACTTCCTCTTACTTCTCCAACTCTTAACTTGTTGCCACACAACCCATTAACACCACAACAGCGCCAAGTTGCAATCATAAAGCGATAAAAAGTCGTTCCTCTAACTGCTGCTGCAGCTCATGTTGATCATCATCATCTTAAAAATCAGTTCAGCATTTTTTTGAATCGATAAAGCACGCGAAAGTAATTTGCACCTCTTTTATTGCAGGTTCACTGCATCGCACCTTTAAAAACTTGTTCAAGACTCAAAAGATAGAGAAAATTGAGGATGGTAAGTGCTGTACATTTAATCTAATCATCACATCTGCAGACTGAATTATCGACTCAATTTTAATGAAAATCTTTTACATATTCTGAGCTGTAATTTGTAATTTGTGGCTGAGTTGAGCTCATCTAGGCTGCAGATGAGTTTAATTTAAAATTTTTTGGATCAAATGTTATCGATGATTGAGATTTGTGGCTGATTGAGGATGAATTGGAAGCTGTTGATGGACTTTTTGATGAATTTTCTGGATTGTTGAGTTTACTGTTGGATTTACGGAGGTCAATAGAGATCAGTTCGGTGTCTAAAATTCAATATTAAGCAACATAACCTCAAAATGGGACATAAAACCCCTAAGAAAGTCAGCTGAACTTCCTAAACCCCCTCAAAATCTTAAAAAAAATATTTATTAAAAAAACAAGCAAGTTAATGAACTAATTTGTGCCTCAATTGTGTCTGTTAATGTGCCAAGCCACACTTTTATTCGTTCTTTATGTCAAGTCATGTCCAATTTGGTTGTGTAAATATTTACGAATGAGACACGTTGAGTAAATTAAGCATATCACAATATCCATTTCATAATTCATACTTACTTATTTATGAGACAGACTTTCACAAGTTTTAATGGGGTTTTGTTGTGTCTGAGGTGGGGTTGTTATTTTTTGGGGTTACTTAAGGCTGAATGGAGGTCTTTTAGTTTGTTTTTTTGAGAATTTGCTTCAATTTGATCGAATTATTGTACATTATTAAGAAATTTAAGGTAATTTTTAGGTTATGTCAGTCAAATAAGCACAAAACTTTATCAATTTCTATCCAAAAATCCACAAAATCACCAAGAAATCCACATTTCGTGCTTCAGTTTCATTAGAAATATCTCAAAAAATGTCATTCATAATTCATTGCCTGCCTGTCTCATTAAAAGAAGTGAAAGTCCATAAATGAAACGCAACCCTTTCCCCGTGTTCCTTTTCATCCTCTATGTGCAGCACATCCACGTGTCTATTTTGTAATTTCTTGAATTAATTAATTCACATTTTTACCTTTTTTATTTACTTTTCTGTGCCTGCTCGCCTGCCTTGTTTGCTCAACAAATGATGGAAATTTCTTTATTTTATTCATGTGGGGATGTGATGATGACGAAGGTTTTGTGGAATGAGAAATATTGGGAATGAAATGGATGTGGCACTTCCACCCAACTCCTGAACAGCACCGAGAAAATATCGATTAGCATAAATGTACTTAAATATTTACTGTTCATTTAATTAATTTCACTGAGTTATGAGACACACTTTTTTGAGGTTATGTTGCATTGTGGACATGAATTTTAATAGTTTTAAGAATTTATTAATTTTTAATGAAAACATTTTTATTAAAAAATGAAGAAAAAAAATAAATTTTAATTGCATAATTAGTCTGAGCTATTTCTGAGCTTCTCGTTGGTGCTGTTTAGTGCTTCTTAGATTTCTTATTTATTAGTTTTTGAGTTGGTGGTTGAGTGGATGTTGTGTGTTACTATGAGTGGGTAGGAGATGCAGCTAATGTCCATAATAAGATGGAATTTTTGGATTTTTGTCGATAATTTTAATAGTTAAGCATTTAGTGTTGGAAATTGACAAGCTTTAGTTGGTTTTAGAACCCGACATTCTCATCAATCTGACAATGAGTCATTTAATTTCCAATCTTTTAATTTTACAATTTTTCTCGACAAGTTTTAAACTCTTTTTTCAGTTTTTTATTTTGTAATTTTATAATAGAAAAGCTTTTAAAAATTTTTTTGGCAAAAATCCATAATTACTTATCATCATAATAACTACTCTGAATCATAAAAAATAATTCTTAACATCCTCAATAATCCCACGGTTCCGTAACTATTCATAAAAAATTCAATCTCACAAGACAAAAATAAAATTCAAAAAAAAATCTTTAAAATTTCTTTTCATATTCAAATTTTAATTTTTTTATTAAATAATTTCAGCATAATAAGCATCAACAGGAACAGACTCGACATGTGTGTGTCCCTAAATTATTTTTTTTATTCCTTTAAATTCCCAGTCAAGCATGTGAAAGAGATGAGAACAAGACGGTAAAAAAGACTTAATTTGCATATCAACAACAGGAACAAGAACAAGATACAGAAAAGGAGCAAAAAAAGAATGAAGGAAGTGAAAAAAAGGTGAGGAAGTAAGACAAGCAAAAAAAGAAGGCAAAAGAAGCAGAGCGACAGTAACGGGAATGTTGGAAGGGTTAATTGAAGATGAATTTTGAGACTTGATTTTAGATGTGAATTGATGAGTTGCTGGTGATGCTGAGGCTCTGTTTTAAGAAGTTTTAAATTTCATCAATTTTTAAGATTGTTGAAATTATTTTTGGACACAAATTTAAATTTTCCAGAATTTTGTCATTTTTAACCTCAAAATTTTCAAGAATTTGGAAAATTATCATTAAAATTCTGAAAGTTCCAACCGTAATCTTACAAATTATCCAACAATCTGATCTTAAACTTTCAATTTCAACTCAAAAAAGTTCCCATCCCTTGCCAAACAATTCTAAAATTTCAGTTGAATTTAAATCAATTTTTTGTGCTTGAAAGAATTTTTTTTTAATATTTAAATAAGATTTTTTTTAACTCTCATAATCGAGAGATAGTCAGCTGCATCTGATGCTTTATGCTGCTTAAAATGTTCTTCATGATGCACCTTGAAATTAATTTTTTATGATTTTTTTTTATTAATTTCATGACCGTTTTTGAGTCGTGCATTATTTGCTGTGAATTGATGATGAGTTTGAGGATGTTTGGTTGATGCTGGAATGGAATTTTTGAGAATTTTGAATTTAATTTTTGAGAATTTAAGCAGTTGTGATTTTATTTTGTTAACTTTGAGTTAAATTTATCAATTATTGTGGATTTGGAGGTTAAAATGTTGATGAAAATTGAAGAATTTAATGAAATTTGTGCAACTTTTGACATTTTTATCAGCAGTAAGTCAACTTTGAGGGCATTTATTGATAAATATTGTACAACTGACTCCACAAAAGAGTAAATGATCTTAAATTGAGGTTGTGTTGAACTCAAATGACCAAAAGTTACTAAAATTGATCTCAAAATTGCAAAAAAATGAAGAAAATCATTAAAATATTGGCAAAATCGCACCAAAACTTCAAAATTAAAAGTCATAAAAACTCAATTGAATTCAATCTTTGTCCAAATAACTCAAAATATCTTCAAAATCTTAAAAAACTTCCAAAATTCTACAACAAAAGATCCAATTTTTCATTTTTTGTTCATTTGTAAATTTTTTATTGGCTTAGTTCCCTTAAAATCAGCACAAAACATCTCCAATTCAGTTGAAAAATCTTAAAGACGCATTGCTGACTTGCTACATGCTGAGATGTTATTGGAAATTCATCCCAATTTTTTCGAATACAAAAAGTGACTTGCAGAAAAAAAAGAAGAAGTCGGAAGGGAAGAATGGCAACAAATGTGCTGCTGCTGCTGCTTCGATTAGAAAATGAAATAAAAATAAATTGTGCGGATTTTTTTAAGGCAAGAAGAAGGGAAACAAGAATTTTTTAGGGTGAAATTTTTTTGCTTGATTTTTTTTTGTGTTCGATTTTTTAAAAAAATGGAGAAAATTTGAAATGGTGGAAATTTTTATTCTTTTTTGTGTATTTTGGTGCTGTTTGTGCCTGCAGAGTCACATTCGTGGTTGTTGTTTTTTGAGCTGAGTGGGTTGAAAAATATTTTTGGAAGCATTTTTGGATGTAATTCTTGGAATTGTTAAACAATAAATCTGAATTTACATCCACAACCCTCCCCAGACCCCCAACAGCACCCCCAAAAAAATTCTCATCTCCAAAAATAAAACAAAAAGATGAAAAATCTTGAAGAATTTTCTCAATTTTTTCATTAAAAAATTTTTCCTCATTTCCACCCAAACACAAGTTGAAGTCCACACGAATCGTCCTCCTTACAGCAGTGGAATGAGATGCGAGCAGAAAATGAGGCAAAAAAAGTAAAGAAGACGAAGGAAAAATATCATTTACCGC